TCACCCGTGACGGCGCCCACCAGCCACGTCGACCTCGGGATACCACCCCCGAGGTCGTCCTCGCAGACAACATCCCCGGCGACTTTCGCGCACGTCGCCCGGGTATCCTGGTTGACCGGGTATTTCGCGGTCCTCCCGCGGTTTCTCGGCCACCGCGGTCCTCCACTGCGATTTCGTGGCTCCTACGGTCCGGCTCCGCCCAAGCGAGGACGGGGCCAAACACAACTCCCGTTGACAGAGTATCCCCTTATCGACGAGGAAATCCTGCAGTTCCTTGCTGCGGAACTCAGCTGCGCTGTCGGTCTGCTAGATATGCAGCTTCTTGCGCGATTGCCGTTGCGTGTGCGCCAGGCAGATGCGGAACATATCGTAAGCCCTGCTCCGATAGTGTGGTAGTGTGGTGCTTTACAGTTCGGATCCGTCAGGTCGAAATATGGCTCGGGGTGTGAATACTGCAGCCGTTATGCAGTTGTTGAGTGTTTGTCGTGAGGGGTGACCGAGGCACTGGTGCAAGAGGTCATGCGTTGCGCGGACTCCAAGTGTGTGGAGGTATCGCGCATGAGCTTCTTCAGGGTTTTTTTGGGTTCTAGCTGTGCTGTTTTCGTTGCTTCTGCTTCTTATGTTGCTGTTGCTATCTCAGTTGCCGCTTCTGTCTCTGCTCATGTTGGCAGGGTTGATAGGACGAGTGCCAGAAAGTTGCGGTTGGGGATGACGGAGAGGGGGGTGTCGGTGCCTTCGATGTTGCCTCCCAGTGGTTCTTCTGCATCCGAAGGAGTCGCTTTGTAGAGTTGGTGGCTCATTGCCCCAGTCTATGTAGCTGCTCTGGTAGCTTCGGGGAGGTTCGTAGGGAGTCGAGAAAGATGGGAGATTTTGTTTCGAGGGAAACAATAGGCGTGGTAGGCTCTTCTGTTTCTTCTCCCCCTTTTTGTTCTTCTCGGCGTTCAGGTGAGCCCCATGAATCCCATCCTGATGCTTGTCCAGTTCCCCAGTCTCTTTTGGCGGTTGCCCATGTGCTGCCTTCAGCTCCTTCTCCCCATCCAGTTGTGGCGTTAGATGCACCCCACCCCCCTTCAGCAGATGATTCCCAGCCCCGTGCGACCTGGGTTTGTGTTTGACGCTCCTCCTCTTCTTGTTGTACTTGCTCCTCTTCCTCCTTGACACTTAGCTCCTGTTTCTTGTCAAGGTCGCACCAGTCTTTGTAGATGCATCGGTGGATCTCACTGGTGTAGGGACGAGGCATGCCGTCCTCATCATACGTCCTTTGTGATTCCCTTTCCGAGATCCATCGAAGCCTTTCGATGGCCTGTCCGGGGCGCAACCTTTCACGAGATCTGAAGACGTGAGGTTGTCGCGAGCTCCATGGTGGACATCCCTTTTTCGAGCTGCGCCAGGCTTTTCGCTTCTTCGATCTCATCCAGTCCTCTGCCGGCCATGTTGGTGTAGGAAGCGGTGGGGGTGTGGCAGTTGGTGCAGAGCCCATCGGGGCCATGGTTGTGAAGATCCGTTTCTAGCAGATGAGGTTTGCGTTTGACGCAAGGTCTGCCGTCGAGGTGTTTCCACAAGGATTCTGATGCGTATTCGAAGTTCAGTGGAACGAGATCGATTAGTTTTTCAGACGAGCTGCTGCGGTCTGGTGTGTCGAAGTCTGATGCCGTTGCGGGATTGAGCTATACCGAGGTACATGCTCGGTTTGTTGGGGACCGCGTAGTCTAGCAGGACGTCGCACGTTCTTGAATCCGTGCAAAGTTCGACTCCGCAATCAAATAGTTGAGCCGCTGAAAGGAGATTGAAGCGCGGGTCTTGGACGATGAGCACATCGTTGAAGGTGATGTGGGACTGCTGTCGTATGCTTTGAGTACGACCATTCGTGCGCTCGCTCGCAGGTTCTCGTTGTTTGCCACGGTGATGTAAGTGACAGTACGGGTGGGGACGGAGTTCGAGATGTAACACCGTGATCCCAGTATGTGTTGTCCGCAGCATCTGTCCAGGTACCAGGTGTTGTAGTTGTCGTTGTTGTCGCGGGAGAGCAGGGCGAGCCGCGGCGTGATGATGTGCGAGGTATCAACTTTCAGGAAGTCTACGCGTTCGTCCCAGTCTGTGGCACGGGCCTCGCAGTAGTTGTCCAGGTACCAGGTGTTGTAGTTGTCGTTGTTGCCGCGGGAGAGCAGGGCGAGCCGCGGCGTAACGATGTGCGAGGTATCAACTTTCAGGAAGTCTACGCGTTCGTCCGAGTCTGTGGCACGGGCCTTGGATCGTAATGGTGCGGCGGACTCTCGAGCTGACTAAGCTTGGCACGCGTCTTTGTCGGCCGACCCAGTTGTTCGGGTGAGTGGAGGTTAGGTGGCATGTGTTGGAGCGGTATTTGCATCTTTCAGTAGACTGGCCGAAGGTCTTGCAGACCTTGCAATGGTGGCGTCGTGGTAGTCGTCGCTCTTCCTTGTTGTTTGTGTAGAAGGCGAGGCGTTCTCGTCGCGGTGCGGAGCTGGTTTTGTTAGAGTCTATGTCTTGTTTTCGACGAGAAGAACGGCGCAAAGTGCAATTTCAAAACTAGCTCCCTGCTGTTGGAGTAGCACCTTGCAGGGCCCCACTCTGGCCCGAGTCTGGCGAGCGCAACAGTAACGAAAATCTCTTCAAAGATGGTGCTCACGTGTTTTGCGATCTGGTCGCGGATGCTTCGACAACGCTTAGTCTGTTGACACTGTCTTCTCCCCGTATCCCATCTTAATCTCCTTTAGCTTCTGCAGGAGCCTGCTGTATGATAGTGAGTCATTCGACTGATAGATTTCCGTGAGGTACCATTAAGCTTCTAATTGCTCCGCGGGCGTCGTATTCCTTAGCATTACGCTGTACGCCATGAGGGACTCTGTGTAGTGCTGACCCTTAGCGTCTTCGGTGTCTGTCACTGGGCATGAGTAGGAGTTGACGAAGTAGTGGTAGATTTGCGCAGTTTGTAATAGCAATTCTAATTCAAAATTCCAAGTGTTAAAATCTTTCCCATCAAAGACGGGGTGTCGGATGCCATAGGCTCAGTCTCCTTGTCTCACTGGTTTCTCCTCTTAATTCTCTCTCTGCTTCTCTCCTCCACATCCCTTTTCTGGTCTCAGGTCGGTCCTTCTTCAGTGGTGCTTCATCTGCTACCTTCCCTTCACCCACTTCTCTCTGCATGTTCCTACGCTTTAGCCACTTGAAAAAAACACTGATCCATCGACATGCTTCTCTCATTGGCTAGCTATGCTTGGGAATTTGGCACACACCATTGCAGTATGACGAGGAAACAAACAAACCAGCTGAGAAGCTAGGTACGCTAGCTAGCTATGTACACAAGGGTTTCTTGCTAGCTCCTGCTTCACTACTGAGGGCGTGGCGTGAGGCTTGAACCTGAACACACGCGAGCAACAAGCACAAACAATCATCCGACATACAGACAATCTCCACCATAGGTCGCAGCCCACCTATGTACATGCGCAATCCCCCCCGTCGCTTTCCATGGTCATCATTCCCCTTTTCTCCAGACCCCAATTCATATCCTGCCAGCTCGTGAAACCCCACCCTTTCGCTGCCATCACTATACACGCGCGCCGCTTGCATGACTCTCGACTCAACTTCCCTTACACCTCTGCTGCAACTCCAGCTGTCGCTTCCTCATCCTCGATATAGCTCCACTGAAGCTCGCTCTGATAACGACTACGCCAATTACACTGACTTCCATTCCTGTCGGTGGTAACGTAAACCAACTCTTTACGTTTCTTGTGACAGATGCTTGTCTTGATCTTAGAAATGTTCAGAAATCTTGTATGCAATTTACTGATGGTATCATCGCTTGGATGTGGCGCTGTTGGTGTTGAGTTGTTTGTGTCAAGGGAGAAGGTGTGCGGGGCGATTCCACGGTCATTTGCAACCGGTTCAGTGGGTTGGGAGGAGGTGATCGCGTCGCCATTCCGCAATGTTTGGAGTTCTTGCTTGAAAATTGATAGTTGTTGAAGTAGCTGCTCGAGGACGGTGGGGCTGATCTTAGTCGTCGCCTCTGATGTCGCAGCAGGGTTGGGCTGGCTTCAGGCATTAAATTTGTTTGGCCAAAATTCTCCGGCCATTCTGACACGTGAGTGCTTGCTTGCCACTCGCCATTTTCGGGCCGTATAGATCTTCGGAAGTGGGAATGCGAGGACTTTCTGAGTTGCTCTCCTACCATGTTACAAACCCACGTGGGAATTTCCCAGAATCGTCTCAGGGTTGATCGCAGAGTGATATTGCAGCGGAAGTGATTGACCCCTAGTCAGAGTGAATGTAAAATAGTTGAAGTGGTAATAACAAAGACATACACGGGTTGACATAATTCAAGAGTGTTCGATCCTCAAATCCGTTGGTTAAATGATTTAATCCAGCATTATTTATTGGTAGCATCTGTGAGCATGAGTGACTCCGAGCCAGTGATATAAGAAGCCTTAGAACCATGATATGAATTAAGAGTAACTATTTAAGGGTTTTCCAAGCAGCATTAAGGGTTTAAATGTTACAGGGCGGTTTACCACGCGATTACGTGATACAGTGCGGTGAAACGCGGTACAACCTGTGTCCAACCTTCTTCAAGAATTCGTTGAGCGTGAAACAGTGGCGGAGGCAGACGGCACGGTCGCATCGCAGTATGGTGATCCCGTTCAGCCTTCAGCGGCTCACGGCCGGCCGGCTTCATTCGCAAGTACTAGTTGTAGAGCTTTCTGCTCCTGCAAGCATGATATCAGGGTCATGCGCAAGTTTTCCCGAGGCAGTCCCAACATCTGTTTCAAACTCCCAGATTTCCCAAAGCTTCAGAGCTCTGCTTTCAGATGCGATCCATCCCGAATCACCATCTGTACGAGCAAGAGCATCCTACTAGTATCGTCGCGCGATCCGCGAATCTTAAACAAGGCCCTCGCGATCCGGCTATTTTCAAGCTTCATTGTTCGCTCGTTTCCCGCGGCGCCAGCGTCCTTCACGGCGCGTAACTCGGAATTTCCGTCATCATGGCGCTGAGTACGACTCGGCGGACTCCGCGGCAGCGCCGCGCACCGACGCTCGCCGCGTCGCCGTGGCCACTCACCGCGGCGGTGGTGACGGTTGTCGCAATGGCTGCCGTCACGGGGGTGGACGGTTCAATTCTGCAGGACTCCCAAGGTGTGCCGCCAATTTGACATTCCGCTGCGGGCTCGCCGTTCCTCTCGCCGTTCCTCTCGCCGTTCCTCTCGCCGTTCCTCTCGCCGTTCCTCTCGCCGTTCCTCTCGCCGTTCCTCTCGCCGTTCCTCTCGCCGTTCCTCTCGCCTTTCCTCTCGCCGTTCCTCTCGCCGTTCCTCTCGCCGTTCCTTCCTCTCGCCTTTCCTCTAACCGTGCCTGTCGCCTGCTTGTCGCCCTGCCTCTCGCCGTGTCGTGGCCTTCACTCTGCTGCCCTCGTCTTTTCCGCGTAGTCGAAGCACAGCAGCAGTAGTAGTAGTGGTAGTAGGGGTAGTACCAGAGGGGCGAGGGCACGCCCACTGCCACTCACGTGCATGTTCCATCTCTCCCACGTTCTCCTTCCATCCTCCCTCCTCCTCGCTCCTCCCTCCTCCTCCCTCCTCCTCCCTCCCCCTCCTCCTCCCTCCTCCTCCCTCCTCCTACCTCCCCCTCCTCCTCCCTCCTCCTCCCTCCTCCTCCCTCCTCCTCCCTCTCCCTCCTCCTCCCGCCTCCTTTCCCCTCCTCCTGCCCCCCCTTCCTCCTCCCTCCCCCTCCTCCTCCCCCTCCTCCTCTCTCCTCCTCCCTCCTCCTCCCCCTCCTCCTCTCTCCTCCTCCCTCCTCCTCCCTCCCCCTCCCTCCTCCCTCCTCCCCCTCCCCCTCCTTCTCCCTCCGCCAACGCCAACGCGCAGTGCAATTCCTGAGGGACTGCCAGGGCGCGTGGGGCAATCCGTCGCAGACGTGGACAGACGACTCCGACTGGGACTGCGACATGCTCGAGTTCCTCATCTGCGATCCATACGGCATGATCCTCTCCCTGTGAGCCTTCTCAGCCTTTTAAGATCGTTGAATTTTTTTAGCATCTTCAGAAATAGTACAAGTATATCCTGTCATCGTTACGGCATGAGTTTTGCTCTATGAGTCAAGCTACCCAACCTTGAGCAGTGGGCAGGCTCGCTCCTCCCTTGAGTGTGCGCACATGATTCTCGCCCACAAGACGTTGTGTGTGAACACTCATAAGGGTGGTGATGGTGATGATGACGACGACGTCGACGACGACGACGATGATGATGATGATGATGATGACGACGACGATGATGATGATGATGATGATGATGATGATGATGATGATGATGATGATGATGATGATGATGATGATGATGATGATGATGATGATGATGATGATGATGATGATGATGATGATGATGATGATGATGATGATGATGATGATCATGATGATCATGATGATGATGATGATGATGATAATGGTGGTGATAATCCATCAGTGGCATGGCATCAATGTGCTCGTCATGAAGCCAGCCACTAGTGTCGAGTCAAGCCATGGTCTGAACTGGATGATCGTTGGCCCAGCGTGCTACGGATTGGGCCAGGACTCCAAGGGCCTTTTCTGTGTGGCGGCCGGGTAGAGCATGCGCACCCATTACCTCGCAGACGCACCTGTAGACCTCTCGCATTCAAATGCAAGGCGCTTTCAGTGTCCCACCAGCAACGATGTGGGCACGCCATGCAATGATCGTGACCAAATAATGCAGATGACGTGCTATGCTGTGGATGATGGTGATGGTGACGCTGTGGTGGTGATTGGTGCAGGGGAATTGTGAACAAGCAACTGCCAGGACCTATCCCTGACTCTATCAGCAACCTCGACAAGCTTGAGAGTTTGTACGCCCTGCCTGTGCATGACCTGCCATGACCTGTGCTTCGAAGTTGAACCTTTCCACTCTTTTCACTTGTCCTGAATTCCTGCTTTGCTCAACTGTCATTGACCTTACTTGCAAGCTCCCTTGCTGCCAGTTTTTTTTTTTACCTTGCCTCCTCTTCTTTCTCGTTTCCCCTCTTTCGTTTTCCCTCCCCCTCATTCGTTCTCCCTCCCCCTTTCTTTCTCCCACACCCTCTTCTTCCACCCTCATTCGTTTCCCTTCTATCGGTCCGGCCTACGCGTTTCCTCGTGCCTCCTCTCGTCCTTCCCCTCGTCCCTCCCCTCGCCCCTCCCGTCGTTTCCCTCCTGCCCCCTCGCGCGCTTCCCCTCGTCCCACCAGAATTTTGTCACAAAGGGGCATCACCGGCTCGCTGCCAGCAACCATAGGAGGCCTTACCTCACTTCAGATCTTGTGAGCCGATTCAGTCAGTCAGTCAGTCAGCAGCTCTCAAGTTGCGTGGCGGTGGCTGGTAGTACACGCGCTTGCTTGTGCAGCGCTTTGTTCTTTCCGCTCTGCTCGCCCAGGCTTCCGTGTGAGACTGATCAGAACCAGCTTTGTTTCATCCTTTGCTGTTCACTTGAGCCAACCACGCTGCTCGACGCTGCTCTTATCTCGTCTCGTCTCGTCTCGTCTGGTCTCGACTCGTCTTGTCTCCTCTCGTACTTGTGCTTGTGGGCGTCCTCCCCCCACCCGCCCGTGGCTGTCATCACCAGAGACTTGGGTCGCAACACCGGCATGTCGGGGTCTCTTCCAACACACATTCTGAATCTCAACAGCCTCACTTACTTGTACGTTGCACAACTCTCTTTCTTCTATTCTATGCACCAATTCTCCATCCGTCCGTCCGTCCGTCCGTCCGTCCGTCCGTCCGTCCGTCCGTCCGTCCGTCCGTCCCTCCCTCCCTCCCTCCCTCCCTCCCTCCCTCCCTCCCTCCCTCCCTCCCTCCCTCCCTCCCTCCCTCCCTCCCTCCCTCCCTCCCTCCCTCCCTCCCTCCCTCCCTCCCTCCCTGCGCCCTCCTGACCGCCCCCCACACTGTCTGCCATCCACGGCCCTCACATCCTCCTCGCTGCCGGCACACCACACCGCAACCACCCATTACCAACCATCACCTGTTCCTCTGAGCCCATCTCATTCCTTCGCTCCCGCAATTACCGCCTATCACAGTCTCCCGCCCCTCCTTTGTTTCACACAACTTCCCCAACACAGCCCTCTTCTCCGCCTTACCTTACCCCACTTCTGTACATCCCCTCCCCACACTTATCCCTTCTCCTCATCTCTTCCGGTTCACCCTTGCCCGGACCACCGTGCACAGGAGCATGAGGGGATGCAACCTCCAGGGCTCCCTGCCAGCAGGCATGGGTGCTATGGTCAGCCTTGCGTATATGTAAGTGTTTTGCTCCCATGCGCCCCTCCACCCATCCCACCCATCCCACCCATCCTACCCACCCAGCCCTGTCGTCGGTTGCTGTTCCTTGTGCATAAAGGCTGATCCGATCTGCTTTGTACGTATTCACCAGCAGACCTCATCCTCAGCCACTACCTGGGCCACCACCTGGGCCACCACATGAGGCACCACCTGAGGCACCACCTGAGGCACCACCTGAGCCTATGCGTGGCTGCTCAACCTGCCATGAAGTGTTGCCCGGCTGCCAGCACCTCGGAACCGTCTGCCTCCCCACCAATGAGACTGCTTCATACCTACCTATTCACCTGCTTACCTACCTGTCTACATACCTACCTACCCACCTACCTACCTACATTCCTTCCTACCTACCTACCTACCTACCTACCTACCTACCTACCTACCTACCTATGTACCTACCTACCTACCTACCTACCTACCTACCTACCTACCTATGTACCTACCTAACTACCTACCTATGTACCTACCTACCTACCTACCTACCTACCTATGTACCTACCTACCTACCTACCTATGTACCTACCTACCTACCTACCTACCTACCTACCTATGTACCTATCTACATAACTGCCCGCCTGCGGCATGCCTCCATGCCTCCTCACCCACCTGCGCCCTCTGCTGCGTGCTGCAGAGATGTGTCGTACAACAGCCTCACTGGGCCCATTCCAGAGTCCCTGGGAGATCTCGCCTCACTTACCTGGCTGTGAGCCCACTCCCCTCCGCTTTACTCTGCTCTGCTCTGCTCTGCGCTAGACTCCAGTGCGGATCACCGCTCACACACACTGAAGAGCGATCCGCCCTCGCATGCCTCGCTTGCCCTTGTTCGTTTAGCTGGGGTTTCCTGCATCTGAAGGGCTGGGACGAGTGCCTGGGGGATGAGTGCGTGGGGGATGAGTGCGTGGGGGATGAGTGCGTGGGGGATGAGTGCGTGGGGGATGAGTGCGTGGGGGATGAGTGCGTGGGGGACGAGTGCGTGGGGGATGAGTGCGTGGGGGATGAGTGCGTGGGGGATGAGTGAGTACGCCTTGGCTGCAGTGGCGCATTGGGAGGATAGCCACTTGCTCTCTCTCTCTCACCCTCACCCGCACTCTCTCCTCTGCGCTCCCTCCGTCTCTCCCTCTCCATGTCTCAAGCCTATCGTCATCTCGTCTCTTCACCCACCACTCGCCCTCTCATCCTCTTCTTCATTCCCACCCCCTGCTATCTCTCCTTCCTCTCCTTTTCCCCCATGTCCGCCCTCCACTCTTTTCAACCATCATCTCATCACCCCATCACCATGTAACCCTTTCAACCCATCACCCCCCCCATGACACAATCACCCCATCACTGCACAATCCGCCAGCGACCTGTCTCACAACATGCTCTCTGAATCCATCCCTTCAACCCTTGGCTCGCACACTTTCTTCACACTCTCACTCTCATCTGCACTTGCGTCTCTCTACTCACAGGACCCTGAGCTCCAACCAACTGTCTGGCGACATCCCTGCTGAACTAGGATCGCTTCTCAGCCTCTTCTACCTGTGAGCCCCTCTTGCCATCCTCTGATTCTCAACTTCTGCTTCTCATCGCATCCCCTCTTGGTATCCTACCACGTGCAAGCCCAACCATCTGCGTGCCGCCATTCCTGCAGAGACAGCGCTCACCTCATCTTACTCCTCGCAGCCCTCACAATCACAACCCTCCTCACCCGTCACTCAATTCCTCCTCTCCCCGCCGTGCCCTCTCCGTTAATTCCTTTGCCTCTGCGCCCTTCCACACGTGCGGTACGGGTTCAGCAACTTGCTGGGAGAGGCTTTGCAGGGGCTTGCCAGGGAAAGCAGGGAGGTGGCATCTCAGGGTCTTGGCAGTGTCTTGGCGACCAGACTCACCTGTGCAGCCCTTCTCCTCTGTGCCTGGCAGGCAGCTAAGTGAGAACGAGCTGAGTGGAAGCATCCCGGAGAGTCTCTTCTCACTCGCGAATCTATTCACGCTGTAAGGATTTGCGGAGAGGGATTAAGCTTGGAGCATCTCTTGGGTCGACCAAACCAGGATTTTGGATTCAGGGTTGCAGGTTGTGGTTTCTAGGGTGTAGTTTCGGGTTGCTCTGTTCACACCGCGCCATCTGCCTCCCAGGCTGCCAATCACGGTTGTGTCAGCAGCGGTCTCTTAACATGAAACCAGCTGTGGTGTGAACGTGTGTGTGTGTGTGTGTGTGTGTGTGTGTGTGTGTGTGTGTGTGTGTGTGTGGATGTGTGTGTGTGTGTGTGTGGGTGTGCGTGGGTGCGTGTGTGTGTGTGTGTGCGTGTGTGTGTGTGTGTGCGTGTGTGTGTGTGCTCGTGTGTGTGTGTGTGGATGTGTGTGTGTGTGTGTGTGGGTGTGCGTGGGTGCGTGTGTGTGTGCGTGCGTGTGTGTGTGTGTTTGTGTGTGCGTGTGTGCGTGTGTGTGTGTGTGTGTGTGCGTGTGTGTGTGTGTGTGTGTGTGTGCGTGGGTGCGTGTGTGTGTGTGTGTGTGTGTGTGTGCGTGTGTGTGTGTGTGTGTGCGTGTGTGTGTGTGTGTGTCTGTGTGTGTGTGTGCAGGGCTCTTGACATGAACCAGCTCACTGGCACAATCTCTGCACTCAGCAACCTTGTCAACTTAGTGAGCCTGTGAGCGGTGTTCAAGAGCGAGGGTAACCATGGGTGAGTGGTAGGTACCCATTTGTGAATGGTAACCATTTATGAGTTGTAACCATGGGTGAGTGGTGACCATGTGTGAGCGGTAACCATGGGCGGATGAATAATAACCATCTGTAGCCCTTCTGTGATTTTCTCATCGCAATTGCTGCCACTGTAGCTTAAGGGTTACTAGAAAATCACACCATGCGAGCGGTTACAGAACCACACCCCACGTTATAGGACAACACAAGTCTGGCTGGCGCTGCATTCTCATCGAGGGTCTTTTCAGCTGGCAGCGCACCAACCTTGTGTATCTCACAATACAAACTCCTCTCACCTCCATCATGCTTCAACAATCATCTCCACCACGGTTTCTGTCTCTTGTGCTTTCAGGTCACTGGCATCGAACCATCTGTACGGCTCCATTCCTGACAGCGTCACCAACCTTGCTGCTGTACGCACATTGTAAGATACACTCTCGCTCACCTGCTCTCACAGGTGCCACAATTCTCTCTCTCTCCCTCACGCACTTTCGCGTTTTGTGACCTGTCAAAGCGCCCTCAAGTATTAGACGCCTCAAATCTTGCTCGCATGCACTCTCGTTTTGGGTTTGCACTCCACCTTCCAACTGTTAGCATTAGACATCAATCTCAACTTTGTTACTTGCAATTTTTTATATCCTAGCTTAGTGTAGTTTGCACTTTGTGTTTGGTTGGGTGTACAGCCACATCCCAACCAAACCCAAATGTGACCATCAAGCAACCAACCCACCAATTGGACATTGCCTTGGGTTTGCCCCCGATGCCCTCCCCATCCATACTTTGCTCATTTCAGATGTACTTAAAGAGCTTTGAGCTCATTACTAATGTATCAGTTGAAGCTCAGCTCTGACACCAACGACAACCACCACACGCTCTCTCTGGCTAACATAACCACCACATGACACCTCCTTATCACAGAGTGCCACTTTCAAGAACCCACCTCATATTTCCAACCTGGTCACACCCTAAACAAGCAACGGCATCTTACGTCCTCCCCTTCTCCCGTCCCCAGTGATCTCTCCCACAACTTCTTCACAGGTCCGATGGTGAAGCCTCCTGGAGCGGCAGCAGATCTTTCCAGCAACTACCTCTCGGGTGCTCTCACAGAGCAACCGAGTGACGACGCGGTGGGCGCCAACTGCTTTACCTCGTCGCCTGCAGGGGCCACCTGGTTGCCGGAGCAGCGGCCCGAGGCAGTTTGCCGGGCATTCTGTGGCATCTCCATGCGCGCGAATGCTGCTGCTGCTGGTGCTGCTTGTGGTGGCCGTGGGCTGTGCTATCCCGACGGGCCTAGCTTGGCGCCCACCTGCTTGTGTGACGCGGGGTTCGTTCAGTTTGGAAGCATTTACTGCCTTGCGGAAGGTGAGGGGAGGGGGTGCAAGTGAAGGGTTACACGGACGGAGGCTTTAACAGCCTTGAAGAAGATGAGGTGTGGGAAGGAGGATGCTTTGCGTTTATCATTACATATGTAGAGACATATGTAGAGACAACAGCCCCATAAATTTCACCCCTTCCCATTCCCCTCATTTAACCTTCCTTTTCTTCCTCCCATCAATCCCCTGGCATCGTCTTCCCCATCTTCCACACACACACCTGTGCAGGCTCTGTCCTAACCTCCCCTGTGGACAGCAACATTCTCCCGCCAGCAACCTTGCTCACTAAGGGAACGAGGAAGGAAACCAAGGGGGCGTTCACAGAAGAACCAGTGACCCTGTTTGTGTTTGAGAAAGGCCGCGAGGACGAAGGGTGCCGGTTCGAGCTGGGATTTACTGTCAACTTCACCTTCTCCCTCTCGCCCAAAGGCAAGGCGGGGTCCAACGGGTTTGCGTTTGTGGTGTCGGCAACAAGCACGGTGGGGAGCAGCGATGGAGTGGGGTATGGCGGCATGGACCCTCGCAGCATGGCCATCGAGTTTGACGTGCTTCAGAACAAGCCGAATGGCGACATGAAAGAGCAGCACGTGGGGTTGAATGTCAAAGGGATCGAAAAGTCCATTGCCGCTGTGAAGTCCCCTTTCTCGCTGCTCAACAAGCAGGCATACACGGCATGGGTGGGCTATGAGCCTGGCGATCCCGGCACCATCCAGGTCTTCCTGGCAAAGGGGGCAGTGACGCGGGCAGCCACGAATGCAGGGAAGCCGGCAAAGCCGCTGCTGGAGAGGCGGCTGTCGCTGTGTGAGGTGCTGCGGGGCGGGGAGGAGGAGCAGCTGCAGGCGTTCTACTTTGGCTTCGTGGCGTCCACCACTGTCAAGCCGTTCACGACCCAAGTCATTCTCAACTCTGCCATGCATGCAGGTAACGAGCCTCTTCTATACCTGTCATCCAGACTCTCCTAGGGTTATACGTTTCACCATGATTTGTCATTTTCATCGTGGAAAGAAACTGTCAGTACGGGGAAAATTTGTGAATTCTCGAATTCTTAGGTCGGGACGACAGAGCCGTCTGGGCGAGGCCAATTGCGGATGTAATGCCACAAACGAGTCCCGTTGCTTACGCCACTCATCCAGCTACGAGCAACCCTATGCCCCTGCACAGCTGGAGCGACCTTTGATCATGATTCGCCATGATTCCAAATATGAGCAGCCCCGTGGGACCAGTGGGACCTCTCCTCCTCCGTGAGCGCCTCTGCTCGTCAAGTGGATGAAAGAGCGCGACGAGACTGTTGCACGTTCAACACTGGCTTGAATGCACCTGTATCACCAGAAACACCCTTTCCTCTGTTCCTACCCTTTTCTCCATTGCAACCGTTTGATCATTTCCCACAGACCTTCCACCACCACGGCCGCCAGTGGACATCACTCCATGTAAGATCCCTCCTCTCTCCCTTATCCCTTGTCCTCTCTCCCTTATCCCTTGTCCTCTCTCCCTCATCCCTTGTCCTCTCTCTCTTATCCCTTGTCCTCTCTCCTTTATCCCTTGTCCTCTCTCCCTTATCCCTTGTCCTCTCTCCCTTATCCCTTGTCCTCTCTCCCTTATCCCTTGTCCTCTCTCCCTTATCCCTTGTCCTCTCTCTCTTATCCCTTGTCCTCTCTCCTTTATCCCTTGTCCTCTCTCCCTTATCCCTTGTCCTCTCTCCCTTATCCCTTGTCCTCTCTCCCTTATCCCTTGTCCTCTCTCCCTTATCCCTTGTCCTCTCTCTCTTATCCCTTGTCCTCTCTCCTTTATCCCTTGTCCCCTCTCCCTTATCCCTTGTCCTCTCTCCCTTATATCCCTTGTCCTCTCTCCCTTATCCCTTGTCCTCTCTCCCTTATCCCTTGTCCTTTCTCCCTTATCCCTTGTCCTCTCTCCCTTATCGCTTGTCCTCTCTCCCTTATATCCCTTGTCCTCTCTCCCTTATCCCTTGTCCTCTCTCCCTTATCCCTTGTCCTCTCTCCCTTATCCCTTGTCCTCTCTCCCTTATCCCTTGTCCTCTCTCCCTTATCCCTTGTCCTCTCTCCCTTATCCCTTGTCCTCTCTCCCTTATATCCCTTGTCCTCTCTCCCTTATCCCTTGTCCTCTCTCCCTTATCCCTTGTCCTTTCTCCCTTATCCCTTGTCCTCTCTCCCTTATCGCTTGTCCTCTCTCCCTTATATCCCTTGTCCTCTCTCCCTTATCCCTTGTCCTCTCTCCCTTATCCCTTGTCCCCTCTCCCTTATCCCTTGTCCTCTCTCCCTTATATCCCTTGTCCTCTCTCCCTTATCCCTTGTCCTCTCTCCCTTATCCCTTGTCCTTTCTCCCTTATCCCTTGTCCTCTCTCCCTTATCGCTTGTCCTCTCTCCCTTATATCCCTTGTCCTCTCTCCCTTATCCCTTGTCCTCTCTCCCTTATCCCTTGTCCTCTCTCCCTTATCCCTTGTCCTCTCTCCCTTATATCCCTTGTCCTCTCTCCCTTATCCCTTGTCCTCTCTCCCTTATCCCTTGTCCTTTCTCCCTTATCCCTTGTCCTCTCTCCCTTATCCCTTGTCCTCTCTCCCTTATCCCTTGTCCTCTCTCCCTTATATCCCTTGTCCTCTCTCCCTTATCCCTTGTCCTCTCTCCCTTATCCCTTGTCCTCTCTCCCTTATCCCTTGTCCTCTCTCCCTTATCCCTTGTCCTCTCTCCCTTATCCCTTGTCCTTTCTCCCTTATCCCTTGTCCTCTCTCCCTTATCGCTTGTCCTCTCTCCCTTATATCCCTTGTCCTCTCTCCCTTATCCCTTGTCCTCTCTCCCTTATCCCTTGTCCCCTCTCCCTTATCCCTTGTCCTCTCTCCCTTATATCCCTTGTCCTCTCTCCCTTATCCCTTGTCCTCTCTCCCTTATCCCTTGTCCTTTCTCCCTTATCCCTTGTCCTCTCTCCCTTATCGCTTGTCCTCTCTCCCTTATATCCCTTGTCCTCTCTCCCTTATCCCTTGTCCTCTCTCCCTTATCCCTTGTCCTCTCTCCCTTATCCCTTGTCCTCTCTCCCTTATCCCTTGTCCTCTCTCCCTTATCCCTTGTCCTCTCTCCCTTATCCCTTGTCCTCTCTCCCTTATATCCCTTGTCCTCTCTCCCTTATCCCTTGTCCTCTCTCCCTTATCCCTTGTCCTCTCTCCCTTATCCCTTGTCCTCTCTCCCTTATCGCTTGTCCTCTCTCCCTCGATGCCTGTGATGGATGTTATTACACCCTACGTTGTAGATCCTCACATTCCTGCATCTGCCGTGCTGCCCTCCCCCTCCTCTCTCCCTCTCGTCCCTCTGCCAGACGTTCAAGTACCAGGACCCTGCCTGCTACAGTGGCAACCTGAACCACGTGGTGCTCCTAGTGGGTTACTACATTCTCCGAGACGACGGCAGCCAGAGCCGCATTGCGCCGCCGTTTTGGATCATCCGCAACTCGTGGGGCGAGGAGTGGGGAGACAGGGGCCACATGCGCATGGACATTCAGGGAGGGGATGGCGTGTGTAGCATCAACGTGCTGCCTGGCATCTACCCCATTGTCAAGAGTGAGGCATCTATCCCATCTCAAGAGAGAAACCCATCCGCCTATCTGGAAACTCAGTCATACTCACGAGAGAGTGAGCGGCACCAGGGAGTTCATTAAAGAGAGTGAACGGCAGCCTGTTTCTCATTGCCCACGGCCCTATGTGTTTTGAGTCGACTGAAAACACATCTGGTGCCCAGCATCCTGTTGTCCAATACTGCCTCTTCGTTCTCAGGAATCTCAATCTCATTCTCCGCCAGCTCTCAATGCTTCGCTTCCCATTTTGCGCCCTCGTTATCGCCTTGCAGTCGCAGGGGATCCGTGTGGCAGCAAGAGCTACAAGGGCGATGGTGACTTGCAGCCCAGCATGAACCCGTGCGGCCGATTCACCTGCACAGCCATTGCTAAGACCAACAGCAACACCTGCACCTGCTCGCTCCCCTCTGAGACCAAGCAGCCCTTTGTGGAGGTTGCAAACGGCTATGGCAATACATGTGCCTATGGTGAGACATGTGCTTGTGTTGAGACAGACCCATGGTCACGTTCTTATAGTGAAGACAAGTAGTCACAATTTCCTCTGCCAATGCAACGCAGTGATTCACATGGTCGCGTGCTTGTAATTCCACGTGCTTACGCTTATGAAACGGTACTGGTCTCTTCATCTCACCCCCTCCACCACCAGTGGCACTGTGGCAGTGGGCGTGTGCGGGCTGTGCTTGAGGCACCTCTTAAGCCTTCAGCCCTTTTCTAATCCGCCTCTGCCACCCCGCTCACCCTTAATGGCAGTGGACGTGTGTGGGTCGTACTTCAAGAACCCCTGTGCCGTGGGCACATGCATCAACGATGGCAAGGGCTCCTACTCCTGCATCTGCCCTCCCAACCACGTCCCCAGCCGAACCATTGATGACTTCCCCACCTGCGACCCAGGTACGGTCAAACACTGCTCCCTTCCCCACCTGCGACCCAGGTACGGTCAAACACTGCTCCCTTCCCCACCTGCGACCCAGGTACGGTCAAACACTGCTCCCTTCCCCACCTGCGACCCAGGTACGGTCAAACACTGCTCCCTTCCCCACCTGCGACCAGGTACGGTCAAACACTGCTCCCTTCCCCACCTGCGACCCAGGTACGGTCAAACAATGCTCCCTTCCCCACCTGCGACCCAGGTACGGTCAAACACTGCTCCCTTCCCCACCTGTGACCCAGGTACGGTCAAACACTGCTCCCTTCCCCACCTGCGACCCAGGTACGGTCAAACACTGCTCCCTTCCCCACCTGCGACCCAGGTACGGTCAAACACTGCTCCCTTCCCCACCTGTGACCCAGGTACGGTCAAACACTGCTCCCTTCCCCACCTGCGACCCAGGTACGGTCAAACACTGCTCCCTTCCCCACCTGCGACCCAGGTACGGTCAAACACTGCTCCCTTCCCCCTTGCGACCCAGGTGCGCTCCCACCATCTGCTGCTCCCTCCCCGCCTGCAACTCACGTGCTGTCAACTGCTGCTCCCTCCCCCACCGGCCACCCAAATGCTGCTTCTTCCTCCTCCTTGCTAGATCAAGGCTCGTTCTGGCCTCTCACCCTGTGCTAGTGCAGCTATAGCACCGTTAACCTCTCTTCTTCTCCTGCCAAAGCTGCCGTCGTGAGAGATTCCAAGCCACACGACTGCTTCCGACTTCCAATGTGACTGGAATACAGCGCCAACTCTCTATGCCTGGCAGCAGGCATATCGTGCACTAGACTCCTCGCAACTCTTGACATAATTCCTCTCCTAGTGCTGCTCTCACGACAGGCAGGGTGCTTCTGAGACTTGCCCTCTTGCAAAACCTCCTCAATACACAATGACTTTCGAGTTGGCTCAAAAGTGTTTTGAGACTTGGCAAGACCATGTCAATACACACACGATTTATCTCCTCGGGGCACATGCCTGCCCCCTCTTTCCACCCTACCACTCCCCCCTCCCTCCCTCTCCCCTCCACTCAGCCAATGGAACGGCCACAAGCCTTACAGTGAGCGGCGACAAGTGGGCGTGCGCTGATGTGTTTGGCCTCGTGGGGCTCTCCTCCTCCCACTTCGCCCAGCAGAATCCGGTGAGAGGCAGGCGAGAGGGGCAGGCGAGATGGGCAGGCGAGAATGGGAGGCGAGAAGGGGAGGCGAGAAGGGGAGGCGAGAAGGGGAGGCGAGAAGAATGGGAGGCGAGAAGAATGGGAGGCGAGAATGGGAGGCGAGAATGGGAGGTGTGGGCCGGGAAGCACGCATGGACAAGCAGGATCAGGGCTTGTGCCCATGCCCGGATGAGCCGTCGTTGCAGTGCGTTGAAAATCCCGATGCTGATTCACTCAAGTGCCCATTCCCATGTCCGTGCCCATTCCCAAGCCCATGCCCGTGCCCGTGCCCGTGCCCATGCCCATGCCCATGCCCGTGCCCATGCCCATGCAGGATATCAACTGCTCTCAGCCTCTGCTGAAGGATGCGGTGCTTCGCATTGCCGGCACTCCTGCCATCCCTTGCACGGGATTCTTCTACACGCTCAATGTGAGACCCCAGCTCCAATGTTCCGGCCATGCTTGTGCTTCCTTTCGCCCGCACTTGCTAGAGATATGCACAACGGAAGCTGGTCTCTCTATGCAGTCTCACTTCCTTGTTCTCCACCGGCTCTCATCAGCTGCTGCTCTCATCAGCTGCTCACATCCACTTATGTTCCCGCTCATGTGTCACATGTCATTCTATGTGTCTCATGTCATTCCATGTGTCACATGTCATTCCATATGTCACATGTCATTTGCTTCAATCATCACCACTAGGTCACCACTAAACAGAAGCCTTCCACATCTCCCTCCTTCAACCACCATTTCCCATCGTCTCACACCATTTCCCACCATCTCTCTCCATCTCACACCATCTCCCACCATCTCCCACCATCTCCCACCATCTCCCACCATCTCCCACCATCTCCCTCCATCTCCCACCATCTCACATCCTATCTCATCTCTCCCCTTCCTGTCTCCCTCTCTCCTCTCCCGCCAGGGCGACAAGTGTGTGACGATCGCCTCCTCAGTAGGTATAACCAAGGACAATCTCATGGCACTCAACCCCGGCCTTGACTGCACCCAAGCCATCAAGCCCGGCCGCTCGCTCTGTGTGGAGCGCAACGCCACATACGCCTACACGGCCCCTGAATGTTTGAAGTACGCCACGCTCACAGCGCAGGACACCTGTGAGCGCCTGCTCAAGGGGCCAGGAGTCGACAAGGTTGAGCCCTCCTCCTGGGCTGCGCTCTACCGCAACAACCCCGGCCTCGTCTGCTCCAACACCGTCCCTGGCTCTGTCTCGGCTGTTGGCAGCAACATTGGCGTGCAGGTGTGTGCTGGGAGGGGACGGGGGGAGTGGAAGGGGAAGAGAGAGGAACAGGTGGAAAATGGAAGGGTAGGAACAGTTGCAAGGGGGTGAGGAAGAGGAAGTGGATGGACATTGGGCTGAGTGGTTGAGTTTTGATAACAGAGGGGGTAAGGTAAAGTGCATTAGTAGACTGTGTGTTGAAATGCCCTTTACGCAGCTTAAGTTTTAAACTACAGCATTCAGGGACAAACGATTGACGGTTTGAACCCTCAAGGCATTTCGACTCGGTGGACTCACCGAGGCAAAGCTCTAGCAGGCAAACTAGGGATTAGGCCTTCAATACATTCGCTATCCTTTGTTGGATAAATCTTTGCTTTGCCTTTCACCCCACTCTTCACTCGTCTCCTCCGCTCTTGTCTCTTGTCTCTCTGCTACCCCAGGTGTGCCTCAGGGCAGAATACTGGTCATTTACACTCGGCAAGTGCACAAAAGGCCGGCCCAAGTCGGTGTCGCCATCGCTCACATGCTCCGGTGCTTACCGCTTCTATGCCAACAGTGGCATGAAGCGAGACGACGCGTTTGCAGATTACAACGGAAATAGATGTGCCAAAAATGTTGGAGGCATTACATCTGTGTACCAAGGTAAAAGTCGTTGTGGGTCATTGGCTGTGTTCGCCAGCACATGTAAATCCAATTGAAATTCGACGGCATCGGGATGGCCGTGGAATCAGGAACCGGGGGCGGAACCCGCCGAATAGGTTTGGGCGGAATGGCCACCTCACGAAATTTCGGGCCAGAAATGGGAAACGTGGCAACGGGATCAGGAACCACCCTCCCCACCTTCATCCCTCCCCTCCTGCCAACCAATCCCATCGCCATCTCAAGGCAATTCCCCGTTTCACGGTGAATTGCCTTGGGATGGCATGGGACGGAAAGTTTGCCTGGGGACGAATCTGCTCCCCAGTTTCCTACCACCGTGATGCCGTCCGAAATGGTTGGAAATGGTGGGCGTTCACTAGGCCAAATGAAACCGTTTGGTTCGGACGGAATCCTATGCTCGACAGGATTTTTTCGGGCTGACCAACCGGATGGACGGGATCAGGAAGCCGTGACTGACCATCCTGATCCCGTCGATTTCGCTGTAAAAAGTGCTAGCGAACACCGCCATTGTTTTTCTTAAGAATAGTTGAGGAGTAGGGTAAAGGGGGGAGGGGTACAAGAAGAGAGTCTAGAGGATTTGTGTTCCCCCTAGGATGTGACTCACTACAGGCTATCTAGACCATATAACATTGTTTGACACACCCCCATAGGCTAAGTGAGGGGCATCAAAGCAAGCAGAGCAAACAAATGGTCACAATACCAATCAAGAAAAGCAACAAGTCAAAGCTCAAGGTGGATCTTATGTCACCACACAATCTGAGCACAAGCAAGTGGCCACAAGGCCCGTTCAAGAGCTCACAAGTATATATGTATATATATATGCAAGGACAAACAGAGCAACAAACAAAAGGCAAGACCACAACAATCGAGGGCTTGCTTCAACAAGGCCTACCTGCAGACAGATGTTAATAATAGAACTAGGAATGGATGATTTAACTAGGCAGGAGATGCGTACAAGTAGGGGAAACCTAACCCTAAAGTGTTGTACTCACTAATGAGTGACCCTACTGTAGCCTAGAGATACAATTGTAATTTGACACAACCCCATAGGCAAAGTAGGGGATAGCAAACACAACAAGCGGTCACAAGACCAGTCTGCAGAAGAGAACACAGCTCAGGGTGGATCACAAGGTCACCACGCATTCTGAGCACAAGCAAGTGGCCACAAGGCCAGTTCACATGCAGAGGTATATAATAGCAAGGCAGTACACTGATCACAACCTAGCAAGAGAAAACATGCAGGTAGATAGATATATAGCAGTGTACAACAAGAGCAAGGCAAGCAACCAGCAGGTGAGGCAGAGTGGGCACAAGCCCAAGAGCAGTGCAGAAACAGTGATGATCACCAGGCCCAAGGGCCTTGGTGAAGACATCAGCAGTGTTGGCCCGAGAGGCCACGAAAGCAAGGCGCAGCTGACCACGCTGCTGCAGCTCACGCGCAAGGAAGTAGCGAAGAGCAATGTGCTTCGTTCTGTACTCCAGTCTCTTCTCGCGACACAAGGCAACCATTGCCTTGTTGTCGACGTACAGAACTGGAGGAGAACGAGGCCGCTCCCCCAAGTCGGTCAGCAGGTAGGTCAGCCAGCGTAGCTCCTGTGCAGCCATGGCCCCAGCGTAGATCTCGGCCTCACAGCTGGAACCAAGCACAGAAGAAGAACGAGTGGACCTCCACGAGACAGAACCAGAGCCAAGACTGAAGGTGTAACCCTGTGACGAACGCTGAGTCGCCTGGTCGTCGGCCCAAGAAGCGTCAGAGTGTCCTGTGAGTACCACTGAACTCCGTCCTCCAAGCACGAGCCCCATGCCCGATGTGCTGCACAAGTAACGCAGTACCCTCTTCGCAGCATCAAAGTGCACCTTTCGGTGTCTACCGGGTGCCACGTAGCGAGCCAGGAGGCTGAGAGGGTACGCGAGGTCAGGTCGTGTGCAAGTCATCAGGTACATGAGGCAACCCACAAGCTCTGGGTACGGACCACTCGGCTCTACGGACTCGTCCGAAGGTGGAGCTGAGAGCGAGTGGCCGGTAGACAGAGGAATGGGCTGTGGCGAGGACCACGAGAAGCCGAAGCGCTGAAGGACCTGGTGCACCATGTGTCACTGAGTCAGGGTGATGGTGCGCCGTGCTCTGTCCCGGGTGATCTGCAAGCCAAGATAGCTCCGCAGCTCACCCAGGTCAGTGCAGGTGTGTCTCTCCTGCAGCTCCGCCTTCACTAGGGCCAGTGCCTCAGTGTCAGCAGTAGCAAAAACCAAGTCGTCGACGTACACGAGGATGTAGAACGGCGGCAGAGTAGTGTCGGTGCGTAGAAACAGCGACGGGTCAGCAGTCGAAGGAGCAAACCCAAGAGCCGCAAGTGTCGTCTTCAGTGTGTCGTGCCACTCATGGGGCGCCTCACGCAGGCCGTACACTGGTCGCCGTAGGCTCCATTGAAACCCTGTGGACGGCGCAACCAGATGGCCTCGTGAAGGCTACCCTGCAAGAAAGCTGTCGAGAAGTCGAGGGAGTGCAGCTCGTAGTCACGCTGAGTTGCAACATGTAGCAACACCCGAAGAGTGGTCATCTTCGGGGTGGGGGAGAAGGTCTGAAAGAAGTCGACCCCCTCACGTTGGCTGAAGCCTCGAGCAACGTAACGTGCCTTGAAGGCAGGCGGAGAACCCGGCGGCCGCTTCACCCTGAAAATCCACATGCCACTGACGATGTTCGCCCCAGGTGGGGGAACCTCGTCGACGTAGGTGCCTGTGGACTTCCAGGAAGCCATCTCTGCGTCCATGGCTGTCTGCCACTGAGAGGAGTACTCACCCGAAATCGCCTCCCTGTAGGAGTGCGGGGTGGGGATGTCAAGTGCATCCGGGTCTCCCTCATGGGCAAGCAGCATGGTCGCGTGATGGGGTGCAGCGGCCGCAAGGCACTCCAGCTCCTCCTGTCTGTTCTCAAGAACGTCACAGCCAAGGGCAGTACAGCCAAGGGCAGTCTCACCCCCGACGGACGGAGGACAGGCAGGGACAGGGTCAGAGACAAGACTCGCAAGGTAGTCTAGGCGGTACACAGCAGCAAAGTCAACGAGCTCAGCTACTAAGGCAGACGCAGCAGGAGAGGAGAACGTAGGGTCCGTCACAACCGTAGCAAGAAGGCGAGTAACAGTCGGACTGGACGCACGAGCAAGGTCAGACGGAGGGTCAGCAACGTCAGGCAGAGAGGACGCAGGAGGTAACGGCAGGACAACACGCTGAGGAACAGAGGAAGGACGGAGTGTCATATCGTGAGTGCCGGGAACAGCCGGAGCACGCGGACGACGAACACGAGGAACACGACAGCATCTCTAGGCTCAGGCTCAAGGTCAAAGCTAGACCCAGGCTCTCGACGCTCAGGGGTGGAAGCACGAGTCTCAGGCTCTCGACGCTCAGTCAGGGACTGTGTCACCGCAGTGTAAGGAGCAGCAGCAGGCATTGGGGAGTGCGGTAGCAGCGGCGGCTGTGACTGGTCCGCGGGTGGACACAGCAACGGAGGAGTAGTACCTGCCACAGGGAAGCCAGTAGCACCTGGCCGAAGACTGAGAAGGTGGTGAAGAGCACCAGTAGCCCCTCCAGGACCTCCAGTACCTCCAGCACCAGCAGCTCCAGTACCTCTAGCGCCTCCAGTACCTCCAGCTCCAGCACCTCTAGCACCTCCAGTACCTCCAGCACCAGCAGCTCCACAACCTCGAGCACCAGCAGCACCCCCAGTACCTCCAGCACCAGCAGCTCCACGACCTCCAGCACCAGCAGCACCTCCAGTACCTCCAGCACCAGTAGCTCCAGGTCCTCCCGTAGGACCTCCGACGACACCAACACCAGAAGGACTCGCAGCACCCCCAGAGTCAGCACCCGAAGTCGCAGCACCCCCAGAGTCAGGACCCTCGGTCTCAGCACTCTCAATCCCAGTACCCTCAGGCTCAGTGCCCTCAGTCCCAGCACCCTTAGGCTCAGTACCCTCAGTCCCAGCACCCTCAGGCTCAATACCCTCAGTCCCAGCACCCTCAGTCCCAGCACCCTCAGGCTCAGTACCCTCAGTCCCTGCACCCTCAGTCCCAGCACCCTCAGGCTCAGTACCCTCAGTCCCTGCACCCTCAGTCTCTGCTCTAGTGTCCACAGCAGCAGGCTGCAGAGGCAGCGAAGATGGCAGAGGTGGGAACCCGGGGGGGGTAGTCAGACGAGGAGAGCTCACCACCCCCAGGCCCAGCTCCAGTAGTCTCAGCTCCAGAGTCCACAGCACCAGGCTGCGGAGGCGGCGAAGACGGCCGTGGCGGGAAACCCGGGGGGGTCTCCAAGCGAGGAGTGCGGCGAGTGGTCGCCTTGTCGTCGGCGACGGTGTCACCCCCCTCAGCTGAGTCAGAGGAGTCATAAGAGATCTCAACTGGCTCATCCAAGGGGGGTGGGTCTACCTGGGACACACCTGAGGGAGCAGGACCCTGTGGGGGAAGGGGGTCTACCGGGGGGGGGACTGGTACCAGGAAGAGAGGTGCGAGGGGGACCGGGTGGGACGCGTGCGGGTGAAGTCGGTAGTAACAGACCGACTCGTCAAAGGTGACGTCCTGAGAGGACAGAACACGACGCGAGGCAGGGTGGTAGAACTTCCAGGGTGGAGCGTCGGTGGGGAAGCCCAGGAAGACACAGCGGAGAGTGCGAGGAGAGAGCTTGCTCGCTTTGGTATCGCGAACAAGGGAGAGCGCGCCCCAGACCCGAAACGACGACGCATCACCAGGCTGTCCCGTCCAACGGAGTGTGGGCGAGGTCTCTGGAGCAGAGACACGGGGCCAGAGGTTGAGGTGATGCGCGGCGTATCGGACCGCAAACGGCCACAGGAAATGGTGAGCAGCCGCATGGATCATGGAGGTACGAACAACCTCCATGATCAGGCCAATGCGACG